CACCGGAGACCATGCGGGAGACAGTGCGGGAGACCACGCGGGAGACAATGCGGGGGACCAGGAGGCCACACGGGACACCACACGGGGGGCCACACGGGAGACCACACGGGAGACCACGCTGGAGGCCACACGGGAGACCACACGGGAAGCGGCACGGAAGGCCACCAAGCCACCGACTCCAGGGCCGGCAACGGCCCCCCTTCCTCACGAGCCCTGCACAGAAAGAACCTTTCCAGACGAGCCGTGCAGGGAAAAAGCAGCCAGGGCTCAGAGTGTGAAGGCTGTCTGCAGCCAGGTGAGGCCCCAGCGGGGTGTCCGATGCCCCAGGGTGGACCGGGCCCGTGGGGGGGGGTAGGGTTCGACAGGGGTCGTAGAGCTCCAGCCGCGCAGGCCGCCCTGGGCCGCGTAGGCCATGCCAGCGCCCGCGAGAGCGCCAACGGCCAGGCCGCCCGCGCCCGCGGCCACGGCGGCCCCTTTGCCGCTGCCCTGCTGCTGCTGCTGCTGCTGCGGCCGCTGCTGCTGGTGCTGATGCTGCTGCTGCTGCAACAGCAGCTGCTGCTGCTGTTGTAGTTGCTGCTGCAGCATTTGCTGCTGTTGCTGCTGCAGCAGCTGCTGCTGCTGTTGCTGCAATGGGTTCCCAAACATCTGCTGGGGCTGCAAAGGGTTTCCCATCACTGGGGAAGCAACCGCGACAGGGGCGGCTACCATCTGCTGGGGCTGCAGCGGGTTCCCCATCACTGGAGAAGCAGCCGCGATCGGCACGCCCACCATCTGCTGCGGCTGCAATGGGTTGCCGAGCAGCGGGGAAGCAGCCGCGACCGGAGAGCTCACCATCTGCTGTTGCTGCTGTAACAGCTGCTGTTGATATTGCTGCTGCCCCAACAACATCTGCTGTTGCTGCAACGGGCTCCCATGCACTGGGGCGGCCATCACGGGAGAGGTCATGCTGCTCATTTCGACATGCCCCACGCCGCCCTGCTGTGCATAGATCGGCAGCTGCTGCGGTGGTTCTGGTGCGGTGTTGCGGCCGCTCAGACCACCACAGCACACCTGTCCCATGCTGCGAGCCGCGTCCAGGCAGCGGCGGCGCCAGACCACCAGACTGCACTACGGAAGGTGCACGGGGTGGGAATCGAAGTCTCCTGAGCCAGATGGCTGCCGATGCCGACGATGGCGTCGCTGGCGATGGCGACCCCAGTGCAGATCTGCCGGCCACACCTCCAACGGGGCATCTCACTGCGATTGGAGCTAAATTTGAAGGCTTCATAGCAGGCCAACGCTGTTTGGGATGAGGAGGAGGAGGAGGAGGAGGAGGAGGAGGAGGAGGAAGAGGACGGACGGACGGATGGAGCGCAACAGTGTGACAAACGACCCACAAGTCAGCCTGAAACGCGGGACACGAATCAGGAGATCTATACGTAACGCCCGCAGTTGCAGAAAAAGTGAGGGGGCGGCGGGGACGTCGGCAATCTGCGAGGCTCTGAAGAAGCCCGCCGCAGGCTTCTGAATTTTACAAGTCGTTTAACGAGCTCGCCGCAGGCGCCGATTTATTCGTTAAGGCAATGTGAGTGGGTCGCAGGGTGGGTCGCGGGTGGGTCGCGGGTGGGTCGCAGGCCAGGTCGCGGGTGTGTCGCGGGTGGCCGCGGGTGGGTCGCGGGCAAGGACGCGGGTGGATCGCGGGGTGGGTCGCGGGTGGGTCGCGGGCCAGGTCGCGGGCCAGGTCGCGGGTGGGTCGCGGGCCGGGTCGAGGGGTGACGATGACAACAAACAACAAACAACAAACGAACAACCCAAACAAAATCAACAACCAAAACAACAACACAACAAAAACAACAACAACAACAACAACAACAACAACAACAACAACAACAACATCATCATCGTCATCGTCATCATCATCACCAACAACAACACAAACAAAGAAACCATCAAAGACAACAACAACAATGACAACAACAAAAAGCAACAACAAGCAACAACTACAGCAGCAACAACAACAATCCGCACCGCAAAGATTCACTCCAGCCACGCGCCCAGGGACAGTGAATGAACGTTCCGCTCCAGCAATCATATATATACACTTGATAACGGAGAAAAGCACAATCATATTGTTTTGGGCTGTAGGGCTATGGGGCTATAGGGCTATAGGGTGATAGGACGATATAAGGCTGTGGGGCTATAGGGCTATTGGGCTACAGGGCTACAAGGCTATAAGGCTATAGGGCTACAGGGCTATTGGGCTACAGGGCTATAGGCCTATAGGGCTGTAGGGCTATAGGGCTATGGGGCTATAGGGCTCTAGGGCTTTAGGGCTATAGGGTTGTAGGGCTATGGGGCTCTAGGGCTATGAGGCTATAGGGCTATAGGGCTATAGGGCTATAGGGCTATAGGGCTATCGGGCTGTAGGGCTATGGGGCTATAGGACTATACGGCTATATAGGGCTATATAGGGCTATAGAACTACAGATCTATTGAGCTATAGACTATTGGGTTATTAGGGGTATAGGGCTATAGGGCTGTAGGGATATAGGACTAAAGGGCTATAGGGATATAGGGCCATAAGCATATAGGGCTCTAGGCCTATAAGGCTACCAGGCACCCAGGCACCCAGGCACCCAAGCACCCGGGCACCCCCAGACACCTCCCGGCACCCCGGGGCACCTCCGCGGGCACCCCCAGGCACGCGGGCACCCGGGCACCCGGGCACCCCTGAGCACCCCGGCACCTGGTCACCCAGGCACCCGGGCACCCGGGCCCACCTCACCTAACCATTTGAATCCGCTAGGACCCCTACAGAGGCAAGCTCTGATTGGGAAATATATATATATATATAAAAATGTGGACATGTGCGTATATGCATACATGCATGTAGGTGCACATGAATAGTTGCTGGTGTATGTGCATACATGCATATACGCATATATACGCATATATACGCATATATACGCAGATATGCATACATACATACATACATACATACATACGTACATACATACATACATACATACATGCATACCTACCTACCTACCTACCTACCTACATACATACATACATACATAATTACATACACACATACATACATACACACAGACATACATACATACATACATACATGCATGCATACATACATACATACATGCATGCATACCTGCATACACCTACATACACAGCAATAATACATACATACATACATACATACATACATACATACATACATACATACATTCATACATGCATACATACATGCATGCATACACATACACATACACATACACATACACATACACATACACGTACACGTACACATACACATACACATACACATACACATACACATACACATACACATACACATACACATACACATACACTACATACAAATACACATACACCTACACGCACACATACATACATACATGCATGCATGCATGCATGCATGTATACATACATACATGCATGCATGCATGCATACATACATACACGCATGAAATCAGGCATGCATGCATGCATGCATGCATCCACGCATACATCCGTACCGACCGATATACCTACATACATACATACATACATACATACATACAATCATGCAGTCATGCATGCATACATACATGTATACATTAATGGATGCATACATAGATGTATGCGTACAAGCATGCATGCATTCATGCATACACACAAACAAACGAACGAACTTGCATAAATACACACATAGAAATATGTGCATGCAAAGATGCATACATACATGCATATATACATATATATACACGTATATACGTAATGGTATACACACAAGCATGCATATATGCGTATGTATACATGCATGTATACGTTAATGCAAGCATGCATTCATGTATGCATACATCCACACATACATATATGCCATCCATACATACACCGATACATACACACCAAGTTTTCCCTACGAGCGCACGCCCTTACGCATGCACACGCACACACGACAAACAAAGAAACACCAAGAAACAATAACATACAAAAACAAAGCACACACCTATAGATATGTATATGCATGTAGGTGTCTCTGCACCGCGCGCGGCTGCGCGGCGTAGGCGGTCAAGCGGAAGAACGCGCGCGGACGGGCCAGGTCACGGAACGTGGGGACCGGGGATCCCCCCGTAGGGGATCGACCAGGTCACCCGCGGTGGACCGCGAGGGGAGGGGGTGAGGGCAAGCTAGGTGCGCTCGCGTCATATCTGACGTCCTATCCCTCCCTCCCTTCCCTTCATTACCATGGCGTAGATCTCCTCTCTATTCGCTCAGTCGGATGTCAAGCAGGGCACTGATCGCGAAAGGGTGCGCGATGCATCGTAGAGCACGGCATGGCATGACGTAGAGGAGCACGGCAGGACGTAGAATGTCATAGCATGGCGTGGCATTGCGTAGTGAAGCATTGTATCACAAGCATTGCAACGCAAAGCATGGCATCGCACAGCGGCGGGGGAGAGGGGGAGAGTGGCGGCAAGTGGAGGTGTGCAACGCAAAGATGCAAGAAGGGCACAGCGCGAAAGTGCAACGGCACTCCGAAAGGAGAGGGAGGACAGCAGGCAGACAGCGCGACCGAGGCAGCCGATGGGATGGAACGAGCGCAGCAGAAGTACCAGGGCCGTGGCGGGACAGCCGAGGGACACGCACACACACACACACACACACAAACACACACACACACACACACAAACGCACGCACGCACGCACGCACGCACGCACGCACGCACGCACGCACGCAGGCACGCACGCACGCACGCACGCACACACACACACACACACACGCACGCACGCACGCACGCACGCACGCACGCACGCACAGACACACACATTATCTCTCTCTCTCTCTCTCTTTCTCTCTCTCTCTCTTTCTCTCTCTCTCTCTCTCTCTCGATATGTATATATAGTTACTTTTTACGTCGCAGCGCGGCAGGAGCGACCCGCTCGCGCGCTTTGGTGGATGGGGCTAAGACGCGGCACGAGATGCCTGGCTGAAGGAGGGGGCAGGGAGGGAGGACGGCGGCCGCGGAGGGCGGGGAGGAGAGGAGGACACCCACGGCGCGAAGAAGAACACCGTGAGCGGCGGGTGCGGGGCAGGGCGGGAGGATGGCGGCCGCGGAGGGCGGGAAGGAGAGGAGGACACTCACGGCGCGAAGAGCAACACCGTGAGCGGCGGGTGCGGGGCAAGGAGGGAGGATGGCGGCCGCGGAAGGCTGGAAGGAGAGGAGCACACTCACGGCGCGAAGGACAACACCGCGAGCGGCGGGTGCGGCGCGGCATCACGGCCACGCCCAGGGGCGGGGGCAGAGGCCGCAGACGTGAGAACGTGGAGCACATCGGAGCAGCGCAAGAGGAGGAGCAGCTAGCGTGCCCACGGAGGCGGGCGGCAGCTGCATGTCCGCTGGAACGTCTCCGGCGTCAGAGTGCTCCAGGTGCGGCACCGGGGGAGCTGCGTGCAGGCCAAGAGGACCGGGCCCGGCAAGCCCAGCGCAGCAAAGTGCTGCGGGGAAGCCACGCCGTGCTGCCGAGGCCGCAGGCGGCAAAGCTGCCGGGGGCGGCTGACCGAGCTGCAGGGCGTGCGGGGCCGGCGAGGCTGCGTGCACCGCGACTGAAATGGCGCCGCGTGGCAAGGGCTGGGGCAGAAGAAAAAAAAAAACGCCAGAAACATAAACCTTTGGCGCTCCGCGCGGACTTCTTGGACCTGCGCTGGACACCCCCTCCCCGGCGCGCGGAGCGCGCCCGGGGCGGCGCCGGAGGCGCCGCCACGGGGGGGCCCAGCGCGGATCCAAGAAGCCCGCGCGGAGCGCCAAAAGTTTATGTTCATGGCGCGTTTTTGTTCTTCGAGAGCCGCTGCGGATCCAGCTTGACGAACGCACAACACGCACCCATACCCATAGGGGGATCGTTGGGAGGAGGACTGGCTATGGGTGTGGGTGCGGGTTGTCGGACCCTGGGGAACGCTCCCGTTCGAGCGGGGACCCCCATCCGACAACACGCACCCATAGCCCTCTCCGATCCCCCTATGGGTATGGGTGTGTGTTGTTGGTTCGTCCCAGCTGAGCTGCCAGAGGCCAGGGGCGGCGTGGCCGGAGCGGGGTGCAGCGCAGAGCGGCAGGGGCTCCAGCGGCAGGGCGGGCCGCAGGGCTGCCCGGAGCCAGGGCTGCGGAGCGGGTACCGCCGGCGCCACGCACACACACACACACACACACCGACAACAACAACAACAACAACAACAACAACAACAACAACAACAACCACAACCACAACCACAACCACAACGACAACGACAACGACAATGACAACAACGACGACGACAACAACAACACACAACAACAACAACAACAACAACAACAACAACAACAACAACAACAACAACCACAACCAAACCGACAACAGCAACAATAACCACAACGACAGCAAAAACAACAACAACAACAACAACAAAACAAAAACAAAGCCAAGAAACCAAAAACAACAACAACAGCAACAATAACAACAACAACCACAACGACAACGACAACGAAAACGACAACAACAACAACAAAACAACCACAGCCACCACAACCACAACAACAACCACAACCACAACCACAACCACGACAACATCAACTGCCACAACCACAACCAAAAGCACAACATCAACCACAACCACAACCACAACCACAACAACAACAACCACAGCCACAACCACAACCACAACAACAATAAAAACATGACCAATCACAACCATAACCACAACCACAACAAAAACGAAAACAACAGCAACAACAGCAGCAACAACAACACTATCAACAACAACCACAAAAACAAAAACAACAAAACGATCACAAGAACAACAACCACAATCACAACCACAACCGCAACCACAGCCACAACCACAACCACAACAACAACCACAACAACAATAACAACCACAACAACCACAACCACAACCACAACAACAACCACAATAACAACAACATACGAATACAACAGCAGCAACAACAGCAGCAACAACAGAATATCAACAACGACACAAAAAAAACACCACAACAGCAACAAACCAACAATAACCACAACAACAACCACAACAACCACAACCACAACAGCACGAACAACAACCACTTCCACAATCACAAGAACAACAACAACCACAATGACAACCACAACCACAACCACAATCACAACAATAACAAAAAGAACAGCAACAACAGCAGCAGTCACGACAACAAGACCAACAACAACAGCAACAGCAGCAAGACAACAACAACAACAGCAGCACCAACAACAGACGTGATCATACTGTCCGCTCTTCGTTGCTTGCGTGTCGTTCAACACTTAGACCCAAAACCTCGATACCCGCCCTCTTCGTTTTCGATCGTACCCCCTTGGGGAGCATGTATTCCTTGCATGCCACGCGGAATTGGCGCGGCCTCTAGAAGAGCGAGCGAGCGAGGAAAGGAGGCCACGAGAACGGAGGGGGGCAAGAGGAAGGGAGAAGGATTGGGGGTGAGAAGGAGATTCAGCAGAGAAGGGGCAGGAGAGAGGAGCAATGGCTTTTCTCCACATGCTTAGTGGGGTTATGGTTTTCTTCCCTGCCGCGTGGCACCCGCATCTCCTCCCACACAAATTTCCCTCTTCCCCTCCTCCTCTTCCTCTCCTCATTTTCCTCGCCTCACCCGCGCGCAACACATGCACGGCACGTGCATGAGACACGCGTTCTACATAAAGCCGCACGCACGCACACGCGCACAACACATGTGCTCAAGATTCGCGGGGCGTAGCAGGCGTGGCAGGCGCACTGCATCATACACCCAAGACGTATGCGCACGGTCGCCCAGGGCATGGCAGGCATGTCATTTCCTCGACGCCACAAGGGGTGCGCTGGGGGTGGGGGCGCCATGCGCTGCAGGCTCTCAGGGCATTCGAAGGGGCGCTCCAAGTCGCGGTTCTGGCTTTCTGTCGAAGTGTTCCGTATGCGACACAGCGTGGCAGGCGTGGCACTTTCCAACATCATTCCAACGCCCCAGCAGCTCTCGCCCCATTCGCACCAGGGTGAGCATCGACTGCGCGCAGGACACGAACATTGGCAGACCGGAGGAGAAGGCGGAGAGATGGTGGCTGCACCTCTACGCGATGCTCAGCAGAGCCACCTGCATGGACGATATGCTCTTGCTTCGGCCGCCGCCAAGGGAGGTCCTGCAGAAAGGCCCGCCTCCATCCGTGCTCAAAGCGCTCCAGAAGCTCGATGAGCGCATGGCCACAGAGACGCAGGAGATCGAGGCCCTCGCCCTGGAACGCCAATGGATCTTGCCGGCGGCGTGAGGTCGTTGGTGCGCACTGGCGCCGGAATCTTTCCGACAAACGCAGCGCTGTCCACCCGCATCGAACTCGCGCGGCCCACGCCGCTCCTTGACGATTTCGGAGCGGCCGCCCAGCTTCTGTCCTCGTGGCAACCGCAGCCCAGAGATTTCCATCGAAGGACACTCACATATTGCACGCAGACGGATTACGTTTGCTTTGCAATTCTTTTGCGGGCGCAGCTCAGAGACTCTCCGTCGAAGAGACGCAAGGGCAGACGTGGAAACTGCATGGGCATAAACTAACAAAAAAATGAAATTAAAAAAATAATATATAATAAATAATAATAATATATGTTAACAAAAAACACACCAAAAAAAATAAAAAAAAAAAAAAAAAAAAAAAAAAAAAAAAAAAAAAAAAAAAAAAAAAAAAAAAAAAAAAAAAAAAAAAAACGATGTGAGAAAGTGAGGCAGGGGTGCGGGAGAACGCAGCATGAGGGGATGGAGAAAGCATCACTCTAGAGGCTCCCTAGAGCGTTTGCGCGAGGGGGGTGATTTGCACCGACTTCCAGTGGGCCCCCTGACTAACCGCGATGTGACAGATCGTCTTGCATCACCTCATTGCTTGTGGCCGCCCCAGGAAGCTGCCCTCGGTGACCAACTCGAATTTTTCCCCGAAGGGGAAGAAGGTTCAAGCAATGGTGTGATGGATGGCAACATAAGGAAACATTCGCGACGAGGGTTCAGCACGCAGGATTGCGCATATATGGCAATGATAAGCAAACGCATAAGATTTAAATGAAGAGCGTGGGGGCCCTCGGTTGCGTAATTTTGCAAGCGGGCACTGACGGGCGGGCTGCCTTGCGGATACCATGACAATTGGCACCGTAACAATCCTACCGTTGAATTAACCGTATATATCCAAAACGCAGGAAAATGGCATGTTTAAAGCATGTCTCTTACCTGCTTAGGACATGTTTAAAACATGCTTGGGACACCTGGAAATCGTTTGGCGACATGCTTCCTCTCCAGAGGTCGTCGTCCACAAGGCTGGCCCGAACGGGCGGGTGAATCGGGAGCGGCCAAGAGGGGGGTGTCCAAGAGGCGATCGGGACTTAGCCCGGGAAAATCGGACATTCACTTGGAAAAACGGACATTCCCCGGTAGCACCGGGGAATGTCCGATTCCTGCGCCGACTCTTTTGCGAATGTTTCGAGCGGGGTCGGGCCGCAAAGTCTTCGAAAGCCAACTGGTTGGCTTACGTGTGACCATTCGGTTTCCGAAAAAACATACCGGGGAATGTCTGATCTCGGTGTGCTCGCGCGTGTAGTACTGGTATTGGTAATGGTGGTGGGAATGATAATGGTAATGGTTGTGGTAGTGGACGTGGTAGTGGTAGTGGTAGTGGTAGTGGTAGTGGTAGTGGTAGTGGTAGTGGTAGTGGTAGTGGTAGTGGTAGTGGTAGTGGTAGTGGTAGTGGTAGTGGTAATGATAGTGGTAGTGGTAGTCGTAGTAGTAGTGGTGGTAGTAGTAGTAGTAGTAGAAGTAGAAGTAGTGGTACTAGTAGTAGTCGTACTAGTGGTAGTGGTACTAGTAGCGGTGGTAGTAGTAGTAGTAGTAGTAAAAGTGGTAGTAGTAGTAGTAGTAGTAGTAGTAGTAGGAGTAGTGGTAGTAGTAGTGGTAATAGTTGCGGTAGTAGTAGTAGTAGTAGTAGAAGTAATAGAAGTAATAGAAGTAGTAGTAGTAGTAGTAGTAGTAGTAGTCGGAGTAGTAGTGATAGTAAAAGAAGCAGTAGTAGTAGTAGTAGTAGTAGTAGTAGTAGTAGTAGTAGTAGTAGTAGCGGTAGTAGTAGTAGTAGCGAGAGTAGCAGGAGTAGTAGTAGCAGTAGTAGTAGTAGCAGTAGTAGTAGCAGCAATAGTAGTAGAAGTCGTAGTAGTAGTAGCAGCAGTAGTAATAGCAGTAGTAGTAGTAGTACTAGTAGTAGTCGTAGTAGTAGTAGTCGTAGCAGTAGTAGTAGTGGTAGAAGTAGTAGAAGTAGTAGTAGTAGTAGTAGTAGTAGTCGTAGTAGTAGTACTAGTAGTAGCAGTAGTAGTAGCAGTAGTAGTAGTAGGAGTTGTAGTAGTAGTAGTAGTAGTAGTAGGAGTAGTAGTAGTGCTAGTAGTAGTGGTAGTAGTAGCGGTAGTAGTAGTAGTAGTAGTAGTAGTAGTAGTCGTAGTAGTAGTAGAAGTAGTAGAAGAAGTAGAAGTAGTAGTAGTAGTA